CGGGCCGGCCCTATATCTTAAGTCTTAATATTGCAAAGTTTAGTTTTTACTGTCAATCTTTGAACTCATTCATCTGTGGTAGTTTATCACATGAAAACTTTCTCCACTGATTTTTTTTTTTTTTTTAGTTAATCAGATTTATCGAGATGTAATTTATATACAATTCACCCTTTTTAGGGGTACTTGTGGATCAGTTCTAACAAATGCATATAGAATTGTAACCACCATTAAAATCTATATATGGTCGGGCCGGCCTGGTGGCGCACTGCTGTAGTGCGCCGCTTGGGAAGCGCGGTGGCGCTCCCGCCGAGGGTTCGGATCCCACATATAGACCAGTTCCCGCTCACTGGCTGAGCGAGGTGTGGGAGCAATGCCGAGGGTTGCGATCCCGTTGCCGGTCCCGGTCCGGTATGGGCGCGACACTGAGGGTTGCGATCCGTTGCCGGACACGAAAAAAGACAAAAAGGGAAAAAAAAAAAAAAAAAAAGACTTAAGATATATTAAAATGGTATATCCCTCCATTTACTATATCTCTTTTAAAATATTTTTCTAGGTAGAAGTCTGTTAATCTTACACATCATTAAATTTATTCCTGGGCACTCGATATTTTACAAAGCTAGTCTCAATTTTTTTTTTCCATTTTCTGTTTGTTAATGGTTTGCAGAAATACATCTGGAAGATCCAAGGTTTGATCCCTGTACTGGCCAACTGCCCCCCTCAAAAAAACATTTGATCATGAAACTTGCATCTCGTACATTGTTAAAATCCCTCAATAATTCTAAGAATTAATTCTAATAGATTCTTTTATAGCATTGTAAGAAATGACAAGTTTTTTCTCCCTTATCAACCTTTATGCCTTTTTTTTCCCCCTTATCCTTAGAACCTCCAGTACAGTGGTAAATAGAAGCAGCAAGAGTAAGTACCTTTATTTTGTTTCAAAGGGAAAACATTCAATATGTCACCATTAACTATAATATTTGCTGTTAAGTTTTGTAGATATCCTTTATCTGATTAAGGAAATTTCCTTGTATTCCTGATTGTCAGGATTTGATAAAAATTGTGAATAGATGGCTGCATATAACATGAAATCCACCCTTTTAAACTATACAATTGAATAGTATATTCACAATTTGTGCAACCACAACCACAACTATCTAATTCCAGAACATTTTCATCACTCCAAAAATAAACCCCATACTCATTAGTAGTTACTCCCTATTTCCCCCAAATTGCTATAACCCTAGGCAACCACCAATCTATTTTCTGTCTCTAGACATTTGTCTAATCTAGACATTTTATATAAATGAAAACATAAAATACAAAATATAGGGTCATTTGTGACTGACTTCTTTAACTTAGCATAATGCTTTCAAGGTTCATCCTTGTCGTAGAATGTATCCTTTTTATGGCTGAAAAATATTCCATTACATGGAATTCCACATTTTGCTTAAATATTCATGTACTGATGGACTATTTGGGTTGTTCCTTCTTTTTGATAATTATGAATTATGCTGTTATGAATAACATTTTTATACACAATTTTATGTGAACCTATGTTTTCCATTCTCTCTGGTACGTAACTAGGAGTTCACTGGTTTTTTAAAAGTTAAACAGACTTAAGGCTGGACAGTTAGCTCGGTTGGTTAGAGCACAGTGTTGTAACACTAAGGTTAAGAGCTCATATCCCTATGCTGGCCAGCTGCTAAAAAAAAAAAGTTAAAACAAACTTAAATACCTAGTATAAATTTAATGTGGCCATGATGTATTATCGTTTTTCTGTCTTACTGAATTCTATTTTTCAGTATTTTCAGTTTAAGATTTTTACAAGAATGAGATTAGTCTAATTTCAAACTTGTTGGCACCACATTTATTGACATAAAGAATCTTCTTATGATCTTTAATATCTATATGATCTATCCCAATATTCACTTTCTTGTTCCTGAAACCAATCATTTATGCTTCTTACATTCTTATGATTAGTCTCATCAGCAGCTTATCAATTTTACTGGTCATTCCAAATAATTATTTAAAACTTCCCTTGGTCCTGTCTGGAATATCTCTACTTCTCCATCAATAGTACTTCTAGGACAATAGCACTGTCTTATTTTTTGGCCAGGGTTGAAGTCATATGAATGTTTGCTTCTTGATAATTTATTACACTATACTTCTATATTTCAGGTTATATTTCCATTAAATGTGAAATTATGGCTTTATAAATATAATCTCAATAGATAGTGTATATTACCATGAATAAATCCTCTGATGAGCTCTATGTAAATAAACTGAAAATATTTACCCATGAATTTCAGAAAATAAATAATCCCAAAATAGCAGGATACAGAAAAACCTGCAGAAGCAATGTTGCCCCAAACCCATCTATCAACTACCACTTTAGCAGGCCAAATTTTAGTGTCCACGATTAGGAATGGTAAGTACTTTCAGTAAAAAGTCTTCTTCTATGAAATTCTACATATCTGTGACACACTGTGACTGGACTGTGGGTTTACATTGCTTTATACAGATTACCTTATACAGCCTCTTAGAGTGCAGAAGGGAAAGTCAAATTCCTCATCATCAATGAGATCTATATGTGAAAGACTTTGGAGGTAAGAACCAATTAAGAGTAGTCTCAGAGATAAGACAGTAGCTTGTTTTTCATGCTTCTCCATCAGCACACTCAGACTTCATCTTTGTATGAAAACATAAAAGTTTTAATAGCTCAAACATTTGAAATCCATCTCTGACAAAAAATAGAACACTTACCAGTTCCCTCACCTGCACCATTCTGAGCAGCTTCCCAAACTAACTTTGTCCCACTCCCATCTGTAGATGGAGAATCTGAGTAGTCTGCAGGATTAAATGTCCTGGGGTTTAAAATAAAGAATAAAGGCAAATAAAGCAAGAAAAGCCACAAAATTAACTGTACATGATCTTCCCCCAAACAAGCCCAGCTCCTTTTAACAGCCACGGTAAAAGACTTCACCCTCCTTCTCCTATTTATTTGCAGGTAATTCTTCAGCCATCGGGATGCAAATATTCTGAAAGGTAGAGGGTGCCTAGGAACCTTCCACATACTCTTGTATGATGGCCTTATTTTCCTAAAATGCTGCCCTCTGCATCCTAAAGCAGATATGAAGACCTGGAATCTTTCAAGGCAGAAAAGTTCTAATGGAAAGTCTCACTGCAAACTAAGGCATAAATAGGCAACGTGTCTTTTCTTCCCAAGTCAGAATCCAAGCTTGGTTTTGAACCTTTTGCAACAGAATTATATGCTCCTTCATGTATACAAACACTGGATATAGATAAGAAGAAAATGTTTTGTTTAGCAATTCTCTTTTCATTAAGATCCTAAACTGAACACAAGAAATGATGATTCAAAGGTCTAACATGGGCCAACATAAAAACTACCTTTAAAATTTTCACAAAGAATATAAACAAAAAAATCCACAAAATAGTTTAAAGCTAATAGGCTGGACTTACATGTTTAAGTGCTCCTGCCAGTTTGCTCCCTTTGTTTTCATCCCTCCTTTTCCCACAGGGAGCTCAGGCAGAAAACAGACATGGTAGGAGGCATCATCATTTACTAGAAGCCACTGACTACAAGAGTGCTGCCCTGAAGTTATAAGGAGGGACAAAGGGCTTGTCCTGAAGCCAATTCCCTTCCTTCCTTGACTGTCATCTACATATGGCTTCCAAAAGATGTTTGGAAACTTAAAAGTATCACTTTTACATAGCAAGAACTTCATTTACTTATTATTCAAAGACAATTGTTGGATTTACCAACATAAGTCTTAGGCAGTAGTTTCCAACTAGGGGAACTATATACCCTCTTCCCAAGAAATATTCGGCAATAGCTATAGACATTTTCATTGTCACAACTTCATGATGGGTGCATCTGGTAGGGAGAGGAGAGGGATGTTGCTAAAATCCTACAATGTACAGGATTCCCCACCAGTCCAATAAAGTATTATCCAATGCAAAACATCAATAATGCCAAGGCTAGAAACCGTGCTCTGATGCCTATTAAAATATCTATTATATTTGTACTATTTCGCTTGTTAGTAAATTCTTTTTAAGTATAGAAAACATCTGACTGACGAGAATAAATAAATTGGGTACAGGATAGAGAAAGGGAAATTAGAGTAACAATTAGGAAAGAAAATCACTACAAAAATAAGATGGCTGTGACTTACCCCATGCTTTGGGTTGAGAACTTTCCTGTCCCTCTCCCTCTACCATGTCCAAATCCTTAAAAAAAAAAAAAAATTACAGTAATAAAATAGTACTCATGTCCTACACAATTATACTTCTATAGACATTTTCATCCTATCTAGGACACCCAATTTGCGGTCCCTGCTGACTCAACTACCTACCCAGTTAGTGACTTCAAAGGCTAGAAAAGAATTTCATTCTACTTGTGTAATATTTGGGATATGCGACAAATTAGCATGGGCAAGTTACATCATAAAACAGTCTGCTCACTCAGGAGAGTGCGGTGCTGATAACACTAAGGCCACGGGTTCGGATCCTACATAGGGATGGCCGGTTGGCTCAATGGCTGAGCGTGGTGCTGACAACACCAAGTCAAGGGTTGAGATGCCCTTACCAGTCATCCTTTAAAAATAAATAAATAAATAAATAAATAAATAAATAAATAAATAAATAAATAAATAGGGTTTGGATCCCATATAGGGATGGCCGGTTTGCTCTCTGGCTGAGCGTGGTGCTGACAACACCAAGTCAAGGGTTGAGATGCCCTTACCAGTCATCTTTGTTTTTTGTTTTTTTAAAAAAAGAAAAAACAGAATGGTGGTGTGGGTCCTGGATGTACGTTTTCTACTGAATGCGTATAACTTCGCACCTTTGTAAAGTCAAAGAATTGTAAAATAAATAAATAAATAAATAAATAAATAAAACAGTCTGCATCTTTTAAAATCAGCCAGTGTAAACACCATAACAACATAAGCCACTACTAAAAAATAAAATGAGAACAAGAAGCAACTGCAAAGTAAGCTGAAGCCACTGTTAAATATCATTTTTTTTTAATACTAGGACTTTAATCAATGTCCACAATGGCAGCAAGAGAGCAAGCAAGAAGAGAAAATTCTGTTCAGCACCTCTCCATTTTCTCTTCATTAATATTCTAAAGCTGAAGTTAAACACCTAAACTTAAAAACTAAAACTATAAAACTCTTAGAAGAAAACATTAGGCAAAATCTTCACAATACTGGATTTGGCAATGATTTTTTGGATACAAAACCAAGGGCACAGGCAACAAAAGAAAAAATAGACAAATTGGACTTTAAGGTCAACAGAATAAAAAGGCAACCCATAGAATGGCAGAAAATATTTGCAAATCATATAACTGATAAGAGAGTAACATCCTAAATATATAGAAAACTCCTAAAACTCAACAACAAAAAACGACCCAATTCAAAAATGGGCAAAAGACTTAAATAGATATTTCTCCAAAGAAAATATACAAATGGCCAAAAAGCACATGAAAAGATATTCAACACTACTAGGGCTAGCCAATTAGCTCAGTTGATTAGAGCACAGCCTTATAACACCAAGGTCACAGGTTCAGATTCCTTTACTGTCAAAAAAAAAAAAAAAAGAGAGACAGAGACAGAGAAAAGATATTCAACATTACTAATCATTGGGGAAATGCAAATCAAAGCCACAATGAAATACCACTTCACACCCATTAGAATGGCTACTCCAAAAATAAAAAAACAAACAACAAAACCCAGAAAATAACAACAAATATTGGCAAGGACATGGAATGCTGCACTCTTGTGCTCTGCTGGTAGAAATGTAAAATGGTACAACTGATATAGATTTGTGGCTTTTTAATTTTTTTGTATGGCACTTGCTCAAAAAATTTTATATCGAATTACCATATGCCATATGATCCAGCAATTCCACTTGTGGATATATACCCAAATAAAGAATTGAAAGCAGGGTCTCAAAGAGATATTTATATACCCATATTTATAGCAGGATTATTCACAATATCCAAAAGGTGGAAGCAACCCATGTATTCACTGACAGATGAATAGATAAGCAAAATGTGGTATACACATACAACAAAATATTATTCAGCCTTAAAAAGGAAAGAAATTCTGAGACAAGCTACAACATGGATGAACCTGGATGACATAATGCAAAGAGAAATAAGCCACAAAAGGTACCTAGAGGGATCAAGCTCAGATGCAGAAAGTAGAATGGTGGTTGCCAGAGACTAGGGGGAAATGAAAGGTGAGGTTACTATTTAAAGGGTATAAAGTTTCAGTTTTGCAAGATGAAAAAAGTTCTGAAGATGTATGGTGGTGATAGTTGCACAACAATGTGAATGTACTTAATGCCACTGAACTACACAATTAAAATTGGTTAAGATGATAAATTTTACCTTACGTATATTTTGCCACAATAAAAAAATTGGGGACGGGGGGAGTACTAAACCAAACACCTAAAGGAATTGTGATTCAGAGGTCTAACAAGAACCAAAGCTAGAGACAAAACCAGATGGTGAAATGAGAAAAGCAAAGGAGTTTCTAGTTGAAGAGGTAGCCATTTCTACATAAATCAGAAAATCCCGATACTTTTCAAGAGGGTAAAAAAGTATTATTATTTTAAACAGCTGTCTTTAGGCACTGATTAACTATGATTATCTTCATTTTTATGGCACCACGGTTCTCCACAGCTAAACCACTATGAACTGTACTTGACACACCCCACTGACGCCTTTGCGATAAAAGCCATAATGATGAAATACCAAAAGGAACTACAATATCTTTAAGCAAAGCCATGTTCAAGTTGACTTCACCCTAAACTTCCTCATTCCTAACACTTGATTCAATAAAACTGTGTTAATAAATGACATTTTTCCACTTAAAAACAAATTAATAGAATGAAGACATAAAAGACCCATAAAGGTGCAGTTTATATTATCTTGAATAGTTTATATTACCTTGTTTATTTATCATGTATAGTTGACTTAACCAGTAGTTCAAGTTAAATTATGAAAAATATGGTCTTGACAAAAATAGATTCCCAGGGACAATGAAATAGAGAAAATGTCCTAAAAAGTGAAAGAATTTTGAAAATGCATAAGTGGCTACTATCTGTTATAACACTGGCAAAAGGCAAAGGTGAGACTTCACACAGAGCTACGACCACCCTTACAAGACTGTTGGAAATTCGGCTAATTAGCTCTAAGAAAAAAGCTTTCAGTCTAAAGATTTTGGCAAGAATATAATCCAAAAATTTAGGAATAAGATAATTTAATCTCAAAATTAAAAAAAAAAAAAAAGCAAGCTATCAAACAAGGAAACTCATTCTCAGGACTTAAACCCTTGAACAATAAACAAAATCTAGTATATTCATACTATGGATTAATATTTGGCCATAAAAAGGAATGGAGTGCTGATGCATGCAACAACATGGATGAACCCTTAAAATATTAAGCTAAGAGAAAGAAGCCAGTAATAAAAGACCACGTATTATATGATTCCATTTATAGGAAATGTTTAGAATAGAAAAATCAAGAGACAGAAAGTATACTGGTTGCTTAGGGGGAATGAAAGAATTGGGGGAATGACAGAGGGTACAGGTTTTCCTTTTGAGGTGATACAAATGTTTTAAAATTGATTGTGGTGATGATTGTACAACTCTGAATATACTAAAAATCGATGAATGGTATTTTGTTGTTGTTGTTGTTGTTTTTTTGGCAGCTGGTCTGTATGGGGATCTGAACCCTTGACTTTGGTATTGTAACACTGAGTTCTAACCAACTGAGCTAACCAGCCAGCCCTGAACTGTATACTTTAAATGGGTGAAATGCATGGTATGTGAATTTTATCTCAAGAATACTTTCTTTTTGGCTTTGTATAAAGAACTGGAAAGAAAGAAGGAAGGAAGATGAAACACTTAACTGTGTTCATGTGTACTCACTGTAACAAGAGAGAATCCATTTCAATGGCATATGTGTAACAAATGGCACTAACAGTTCTTAAATATTAAGAAAATACTGACAAATTTTAAAGGGGAGATTCTGTAAGAAATAAATAATATCTAAAATTGGGACTGGAAACAAAATGTGCAAGGAAAAGAAGACTGAAAGGGAAAGGCCAGAAAAAGTTGAAGACATCCTGCAAGTTCCCTGGAAAAAGTCAGAATCAATTACATATATCTCTGTCTCCAATGAGTAGCAGCTACACACAAGTATTAACCACAAATAAGCTAAATATCATCAGCAGATTTTTTAAAATTTGTCTCACCTTCTCTATAAATTTTAGCAAGATAACAAAATTGTTTGGTTCTACTCACCTGGGCAGTAATGCTACCAGTAACATTGTTTTCTGTGTATTCCATTTCCCAACATCGTTATCTGGGACTAAGATTTATCTAACAGCTCAGAATAAAGATGCAGAGTCTCTTAATCAAGAAAAACAAGTCCAGTGTTTCCATAAATTATCATAACAAACCACTGTTATGGTAAACACTGTACCTTTTCTCCTACAGAACTGGGACTCTGAACTACATCTATGTTGAATGACTGCTCAAGTTTAATTGTCTATTATTATTATTATTTTTTTTTATTTTAAAAGATGACCGGTAAGGGGATCTTAACCCTTGACTTGGTGTTGTCAGCACCACGCTCAGCCAGTGAGCGAACCGGCCATCTGTATATGGGATCCGAACCCGGGGCCTTGGTGTTATCAGCACCGCACTCTCCCGAGTGAGCCACGGGCCGGCCCTAATTGTCTATTATGACTACTCGAATATTCCTACCTTTTACGCTGAGAGTGATAATGGAAAAGTTGCTCAATACTTTTTCAAAAAGCCAAAACTCAAAGACCAACCAACCACCCCTAGGGCAGATCCTAACTGCAAACATTCTTCTGGCTTCAAACACGTGTAACCTAAAGAGAACGAAATAGGGAAAGTGAACCTAAGAATATAGAAAGCAATCCCTTTTTCCTTCATCCCCAGGAGACAGTGAGGAGGGTTTTGACAACAGCCAGCTGTACCAGAAACTGTGTAGACTTAAATTTATCACTTCCCATTCTGACATGAAAGTTGTTTGTTGTTATTTTTGTTTTTGTTAGCTGGCCAGTATAAGGATCTGAACCCGTGACCTTGGTGTTAACAGTGCCAGGCTCTCTCCTAAATGAGCTAACCAGCCAGCCCCGACATGAAAGATTTTTAAGGTCCTGACTAGTCTGAAGTTTTTTTTACATCGA